AAGGTGGCAAATAAAACACATTTCAGCCATGTTTGTGGTCGCTGTTTGGAAAGTAGGGGATGATTCAGAGTGTTCAGATTATTCAAATTCCTCATTTCAGCACAAGAAAACAGGTGACAGTATCACTACTGGAAGATAAACACCTCTGGGAGAAAGCAACAGGACAAAAAGCAAGTGAGGCACATAAAGTGTAAGAATGGGCACATAAACACACTAATGGATCTCCCTCCAAAAACAGGGATGCAAAACCGCTGGAGAATGAGTAAGACTGCAGAAGCAACATGGCAGCACACATTTCCCCTAAGTCCTAACATGACGTTACATCTTGACATAAAACATTTGTGCCTTAAACACCGAGCAGCTATCGCTAATCGAGGGTCTGTGACATGTTTTTTCACGTGAAAGCCGCAGAGACTTTTTATTTGACAACTCGAGAGGCATTACGCACAATAACAGGCAAAGTCAACGAGGCAGCAGCTCCAGGAGGTTCAGCTCCATGGCCACACAGCAGGCAGGCCGGCACCTGGTGCCGAGGAGCTGTTCTCACCCCCCGCCCGGCATCCCCCACACCCGCACCCTTCCCGGCACCGGCACGGAGCAAGTTCTCCTCCAGAGCCGAGGATGGATGCAGCCGGGGCCTCCCCGGAGCGGAGGGAGGCGGCAAGGCGAGGCCCGGTTGCCCGCTCCTCCCGCCCTCCACGCCGCGGGCCGGGCCCGGGGCGGCTGCCGGCGATGCCCCCGCGGGGCACCGCTCCCGGACGCACCGCAGCCCCCGTCACCCCCCCCCCGACCCGCCTCGCCGCCCCGCGCCCCGGGCCGCCCGCCAGGCCCTACCTCCGGGCGGGTGCCGGTGTCCGCGGCGCCGGCCGGGCCGCCCCGCCCCGCTCTAGGGGCGGCGGGAGCCGCAGGCCGCGCTGGGGGAGGGGGCTGCCGCGGAGAGGAGCGGCGGCGCCATGTTACTGCCTCCCGGGCATCCCCCGCCCACGCCGCGCCGCGCCGCGCCGCTCCCGCCCCGCTGCCCCCGCCCGGCCGGCGCCGCCGCAGCGCGGAGGGAGGAGGAGCTGCCGCGCCGGGCCGAGCCGGGCCGGGCCGTGTTTACAAACTCACCCGCAACGCCGCCGGACCGCACATTAAAGGCCGGGTCCCCCGCGGGCTTCCGTCACCTCTCGCGAGAACCGCGCTGACACCTCCGCGAGGCGGGGCGGTCACGCGGCGCGGGGGCGGGGCCGGTCCCGGTGCCCACAGCGACCCCGGCCGGGCCCGGACATGGCGGGGCGGAGGCATGGCCGGCCGGGCACAGGCACTGCCAGGCCGGGCCCAGCCATTGCAGGGCCAAGCGATGGCCGGATTGCGCCGCGGCACGGCGGGCACCGCTCCCGTGGTGGGGCGGGACCGCTGCCGCCGTGGCTGAGGGGAGCTCCGCATGAGGTGCCCGTTCTCTGCGGCGGGGTGTGCAGGAGGGCCGGCAGCTGAGGACTGCAGGCAGCACGTAGTGAATAAAGCACTGCAAGGCCTCGCTCAGCGGCAAGGCTTCATGCGCCTGTCACATCCAACTTTTGGAACAATCAGCGCTCCAAAGCCCTGGACTGCCGAGATTCCCCATCTCTCAACACACCCGCTCTCATGTGCCTGAAGCCATGGCTGTGGTAAACACTCACCTTGGTTAATGTATCAAAAATGCCGCAGCACTGTATAATAATGGCAAAAGCCTATATTTTACACAGGAGGAACTAAAAGAATTTTGGTTTCCTTAAAAAACTAGCATAAGCCTATATGGCAACACAGTTTAGCTAGTGTGTACTCTGAATCACACATGAAGCCTTAATTCTGTGCATGTGCGTCATTTGATCTTGTTCTGAGACTGATCTGAGAGTGCAAGGCCATAACAAAAAAGTACTTCTAAAAAAGTATCAGTTCCAGCAAAATACATTTTGGCTGAGTTTCTCTGAACTTGCACAAGACAGTAGGGTATGTTTCATTTCACTTCTTGTGTATGGTTTTGGTGGACACTGTACAGCACTTCTGCGAAGTTCTTTAAGATATGGCAGGATAGAAAGCACTGCATTAAAGTACACCCTTTACTTAAAGGTGGAATTATTCTTTAAAGTAGCAAGTTGCAAGAACTCAATTGTACATGCAGAAGAGAGGAATAGAGATCTTTCTTCAGAGAGCAACGGAGACCTGTATTGGAAACAACTATTTTTTGATGGTTTAGCTTCACCATTACATAGCAGCATCAGTGTGAAATTGATGTAAAAATCAAAGAAAAGGAAAGCAGGAAAAGGGAAAAAAACATAAGCAGGATGTTCAATTTTACCTGCAGCACGGGATGAATCACTTTTACCTGCAGCCATAACTTAAGAGTATAATTGGTAACTTTAATGCTTCCTTCATTTTCCATTAGAATAACATGGATATTTCAGAGGTTTAGCTGGCTTTAGCTAGTGTTATCTCCAACAATGAAACATGAACAGTCTTTCAATCTGGAGAACCTACAAGACAAATTTTCATGAGCTGACCATCTCTGAGTTCAGCACAGTCCACGTCAGAAGAAACTGAAAAAGATTTTGGGGAAGTGAAGCCTACAGTAACAGAAGATTTCTTGATGGAAGCTCTTACAGGAAGATCTAGAAATCTCAGTTTTGTTGCCCTATTAAGGCAAAGAGACTGGGTTGGGGTTTTTTGTAAGAAAAAAAGTCTTTTACACATTTATAATTGTTACTTTTGTGAGCATTTTGGGCAAACTGAGGGTACTCCCTGTCAGACACTCAAGTTGACCAACGGAGCTCTGTTGGGAAGGGATTCCATGTGCCCTGTAATAGTTCACCTGTCAGTATCTGCCCATCACTGACTAACTCTAAGCCCCTTATTGTCCCTAAGGAGGATAATCCTCTGTGTGAAGGTTTGTTGCCTTGTTTTGAAAGTCCTCAATTAATCTTTATCTGCACAACCCAGATCAGATTCTGTCCCCACTGGTGCAGCTGAACAGCCACTCTGCCTGAGTTTGGCCTATGCTCACCAGTCTAAGAGTGACTTAAAAGGCAAAAAGCTTGGGGAGATACTACTGCTAAAACAACCTTCACATCCACATTTAGAATCACCAAGATGTCCACTGCCTTTCAGGCAGATCCCAAGAAAAAGGGTTCATGTTGAAAGGGTGGTAAAAGATGGGATGTAAATCCAAAACTTGTTATTCGAACCTGATTCAAACAACTCACGGTGACTCAGGTGCCTTTCTTAGTGAAGTTGCAAAGCAGTAATTCAGCCAGGTCTTCTATCTCCACCAAACACCATTACAACTCAGCAGAAATATTTTATATGCAAAAAAATTCCTCAGCTGAGTTAGCAGAGTTGGAGCTGGACTTGACCAGGTCAAATCTGAAGAGGCCTGTTTGGCCAAATCTCAGTGATAGCTGAAGCTTGGATAAACTAAGTCCTCTGGACTGTCCATGATTTTAGGAAATAGACTGCCACCTCAGATACCTGTAGAGATCACTGCTGTACTGAAAGAACAGAAAAAAGTTCACCACCTACCATGACAGCAATACAGAGGTGAAATGTAGAGTCCAGAATACCTTTCAGCCAGGACAAATGCACTGTCAGCTTTGCAAATCAGTGGCTTCCAAGAATGGGTAATAGCAGGTCCCTAAAATCAGCACTGCATGAGCATAGACCACATGGAAGATACCTGCAATATGCTTTACCTCCTACCCCCTCTCACTCCTCAAAATCCCCACTTCCTGATCTACTCATGTAAGACACTACTAATATTGTTCTAAAGCTACTAATTTGCTTCCTATTCTACACTTCTGAAATTCACATATATAAAAGAACAGTCTCTGTATTGCAATTACTGTTTTCTACTAAGAACGTGTGGGGCAAGTTATTTCTTGTGCTAGGTTCCAGAATTTTGCTACACAAATTCTACAATCATTTAGGTTGGGAAACACCTTTAAGGAAAGGTGTTTTAGACCTTTAAGATCATTAAGTCCAACTGTTAACACTGCAAAGTCCACCATAAACTAAAGTGGTCTAAAGTCCACTAAATTGTATTTCTTTGAATACCTACTTGGTACTTTTTAATTCAGATTAAAACAAAATCTTACCTACACCTTACACTTATTTTAGTTATTAATCATTTCTGCATTTCCTCCAATAAAAATTCTTATATTGAATTCAGTAATTACTTAGCAGCAAGATGACAAAAACATTTAACAAGCTTGGCTTGCATTCTTATAAAGTTCAGCTTTATTTTTTGTTATATATCAGATTATTTAGTATTCTGGATAAGGTTTGAGATGCTATCAAGCCCCCCACCAGGTAAGTACAGTAGCACTCAGTGCTTTCCTCCAAGTATGGATGACACCATAAATCCATTTAGACTGCTACAAGAGAAGCACAGGTAGATACTGCAGCTATTTTTTTTAACCAAAATGCTTTAATCCTAATGCTCTTCAAAGAATGTGTGAGATAATGCAAGGTTGACTACAAAACTGGAAAGCTGGAAGCTCTCTTTGAATTAGTTGATGCCAAAATTGCAGTAACTAAATGAAATATAATGTCCATGTATCACAACTAAATGCCTTGGACTGCACTAAAGCAGTTGTATATTTAGCTCAATGGAGATACTGGTCAGATCCATGTGGAAAGCCTGCCATGGTAATCAAAATATCTGGTGTACATGAAAACTGATACGAAGTGTCCTATCACCTTCATGGATTTCTGTTTGGCTCCTTCTATCAAGAGGTGCCAGAAGGTGTGTCAGCTAGCTTAAGAAAAAACAAAAACACAAGTGAAGGAACAAGGCCAGCAATACAGACTTAATCTCTGCATCCTTTGATCTTTTAAGTATATGCCACGTTAATTTTAATAAATGAAATGTTTGACTGGAAGAGTGCTATGCATATGTCATTATCAGGAGCAATCCGTGGAGACTGAATTACAAAATGTCATCTTCCAGATACCCTAGAGTGAGAAAGACAATAAATGAAGGCAACAAGTTGACAGTTAAAGTTGTTATCTTTAATGAAATGACTTTGGAAATAGCATTAATTTCCATGACACCAACATTTTGGGAGTCCCGTAAAATGCAGTTACATTCCAATGCCAATATTACAGGCAGATCTCCATTCACATGGCAAATAGGATCAAGAAAGCAACCATCAGACAGAAGAGACCCATAGCTTCAGACAGGGCGAATCCCAGGATAGCATATGAGAACAGCTGCTGCTTCAGAGAAGGATTTCTAAAAGAAAGAGAAGGCATAAGTCTTTTTTATCCTTACAATTAAGATGTTTTTCATGCAGTTTAACCTCATAGTTCCTTGCAACAGATTCTGAAATGGGAAAATCCAATAAATCCAAGCAATTTTTTGCAAGGATCTCACTGAAGACAAATTAGCTGGCAATTAAGACCAGACTCAGGTCTAATTTAGAAATTTATTTCACATCTGTGACATGAGAACCACACTCCCAAGGAATTTCATGTGTATCATGTTTTAACCAGCTCTCAAGGCAAATACAGGAACTGAAACCACTTAAGAGTAGGAAAAAAAACAACAAAAAAAGTTGAAGCAGTTTGTTGCAAAAATGCAATGAGTATGCCTTCAAGAAGTGAGAGGAGAAAATCTCCAATATAAATCTATGAAGCAATGCTCTACCACTGCTTATTGACATGTTCATGCCAAATTCAAAACTTGATATAAGAATTTTGTACTGGAAACACTTGTTTCTTGAAGTGGAAAGTGAGCTTCCTTGTCTTCAAAAAGGCTTAAAAATCTTTACCAAGAAGTTAAGACTTAACTGGTTGAAAAAGTAGTGAAGAACTTGAGACTTCTTTTATGCCTGTATCAGTTCTGCTCTTCCATGATGTCATGTGAACTACTTCTATTACAGGAATGTTGTAAAATTACCTGAAAGTTCATCCCTACTACAAAATCCTCACCCTTGCCCCCTTCAGATTTCTAGAAGGAACTAATTTGCTAAAATAACTGCATATTCTGAGATGCAAAGCTAAATGTGTTCAAAAACATCCATTCCTACCTAAACGATTCTGAGTATGAAGACTATTTAGGACTTTTCCTCTTACATGGGGAAAAATACAGGCTGGATTTTTATTTCAGTTCTGGAACTGAATGCTTAAACACTGGACTTCAGGGACCAAAAGACCAACCAAGTCTAATGATGCAATTTCTTTCATGGCTCTCCTCCAGGAAGAGCGTACAAAGTTCTGAATTTAACAACAGAGCCATCCTGATGGATATGGTACAGTTTCATAAGATTCTCTTCAGCCATGTGTATCAGTAACAGTAATCATTAACAGAATTTATTACACTGCCATTATATTTTCTACAGTTCAGCTGTCTCAAGATACATCTGCATACAATTAAATACTTTTTAAAGAGAGAGAGATTGATTACCTGGCATAACCAATGATTAGACTACCGAAGACTGTTCCAATTCCAGCACCAGAACCAGCCACACCTACTGTGGCTGCACCAGCACCAATGAATTTGGCAGCAGTGTCAATGTCCCTGCTGATAGCACTAGTCTGGAATTCCCTAAGTGCTAGTTGGGAGACAGTATTTTGGGCCCCGATAACTGTTGACTTGCCCTAAGAAAACAAAACATAAGAAAACATTATATTCAGACAAAAGACCATGTGATAGCGTTATTATGCAGTTTTAAAAGTTGTATTAGATCCATTGTCTACTTATTATTCAGAGTGATGAGACTGTTAAGTCATAAATTTCAGAATGTTACCTGTTCCACCTGAAAGTATCAACTTTAAAGGTGAAAGACTTCTCAGGGAAAAGAGCAAGACAGCAACAAGTATTATTAGGTGTTTGACTTAAAGCAAGTTTCACACTATAGGTATTGAGTTAGTACAAGTGAACTCTAGGTTGAGGACATTTAGGCTCACCAGGTAATTTAGGAAGATACAGAATTTTGTTTATAAGGTACCTCTCCATTCTTGACCTCTGGCCTAGACAACACAGATGCCGAAATTGGTCTGTACAAGACTCTTGATCCAGCACGGATCTGTAAGAGGAGGAAAAAAACTATAAAAAAAATGAAACATTTGATCACAGCTGTTCCATACAATAGCCTGTAAGGCAGTAAGACTATTAGCTACTAAGCCATTTGTCTTCCTTGAAAGACAGCAATCTCTGAACAGCTGCATACACAATAAACGATACGGAAGCAAGCGCTGCCATGCAATCTGACAGCGCCGTTTTCAGAAGATATATAGCAAATAGCCACACCATTGAGTGAACATATACATGCATTATGCTGACACAAAATGGAGCAAAACAGCCACAAAAAAATCCCGACCGACCATGAAGCAGTGAAACACATTTCAAAATGAACAAATAAAAGCCATCAAAATGATTTTCGAAGCTGCTAAATGCACAGATGTAACCCAGACTTTTAAATTTAGCGAGGCACAAATGAATGAATCGTTTTTCACAAGAGGCCTGCATGTGTCCTTGGGCTCCCAGCAGTCTAAGGTCATATCGGCTCTTGCACAAAGCTCTTCCTGCAGGGAAAACCTGGGCCTGGACCATGCACAATGAGACCTTCTGCAGGCCAGAGAGGGCATTTTCATGCAGGACAGTCTTTTATCTCCGCAAGGACAAAGAACTGCGGCCTTGCCCAGGACAAGCAACAGGCTGGAGTTTGACCTACAGCGAGGCTCGGAGCGCAGCAGGCCCGGGAGCTGCTGGCGGCGCTGACCT